TCTAAATGAGAAAATGTTGCCCTTGTATTAACAAATTAATGAGTATCAAACCTATAGGTATTCATGTATTTTTACTCTACCCAAGAAGACAGATTATTTTAAAATCTGGGAAATTAAGACAATATGAATAACAACAAAAAATATATGTAGATAAAAACTAAAGTTAGAAACATGCTCTTCAGTTGACAAAAATAAAAATATTTTTACTGAGAACTCGACTCGTTCATATGCATATACACAAAAACAACGAATTGAATTTCAGAGTGTAGTGTATTGAATAGTGGCCTCCCAAAAGATATGCTTACATCCTAATTTATTTTTAGTGTTAACTATATACTAGGCATTATTCCAAGTAATTATGCACACACACATACACACACATACACTCCAGAGGGAGAGAGGGACTTAAAGTAATTGGCTTATATGTTTATGGGGGCTGGTAACTCTGAAATTTACAGGGCACGCTCCCAGCCTGAAAATTCAGAAAAGAGTTGATGTTCCAGTCTTGAGACTAATATCTGCAGACCAACAGTCTGGAAAATTAGGCAGAGTTTCTATGTTGCAGTCTTGAGGTATAATTTCTTCTTCTTCCAGCAACCTTTGTTCTTAAGGCCTTCAACTGATTGGATGAGGCCCACCCATATTGCAGAGGGTAATCAGCTTTCTCAAAGTCTAGGAATCACATCCGAAAATAACTTCAGAGTAACATCTAGAATGGTATTTGACCAAACACCTGTGCCACCTGGCCTAGTCAAGTTAACACATATAATTAACCACTCCTGAAAGGTTAAAGGATTTCTCTGAAGGTTATACAGCTGGGAAGTGCCTGAGCTGGATTAAGCCAGAAAGATCTCCACAGATACCACCCATTCAGACACTGCACTAACCTCGTCCGTGGTTATACATTGTGTATAGGTGAATTTCCTTATTTCTGTCTTTGGAAATTAAATTTCAAATGCCAAAGAAAACATTTAAAAAGTAACGCTTAATGTTAAATCCCAAAAATAAAATGTGAGCTACTTATGAACATGTATAAGGTTAAAAGAAATTCTTACTCCAACAATTTCACAGTACTAGCTGGCAGCTCACTCTATACTGTGAGGCATGGCTATGTAGAATACAGGTTTTCTTCAATTAAAGAAGTGTCAGCCTTCTGGATATAGCCAGCCAATATCCCCAGCACCCTTCATTGAACAGGGTGTCCTTTCCCCATTGTCTATTTTTGTTTGCTTTCCAGAAAATCAGTTGATTGTGGTTATGTGGCTTTATTTGGGGGTTCTCTATTCTGTTCCATTGACGTATCTATCTTTGTACAAGTACCATGTTGTTTCAGTTACCATCGCCTTATAGTATAATTTGAAGTCAGGCAATGTGATGCCTCTGGACTGAATTCCTATCTTTCACAATCTACAGAAATGAACTCTAGATGAATTAACAACCGTAACATAAGACCTGAAACTATAAAAATCCTATAACAAAACCTAGGAAAAATTGTTCTGAACATCAGCCTAAACACATAATTTATAATAAAAGACCTCTAAAGCAAATGCTACAAAAACAAAAATAGACAAGTGAGATTTGATTAAACATAAAATCTTCTGCACAGCAAAATAAATAATAAACAGAATAAACAGGCAACCTACAGAGTGGGAGAAAATATTTACAAGTTGTGCCCCCGACAAAGGACTAAAATCCAGAATCTACAAATAATTCAAATGACTCAACAAGAAGAAAACAAACAACACCATTAAAAACTGGTCAAAGGACATGAACAGAAACACAAAAGAAATGCAAGTGGTCAATAAATGTGAAAAAATGCTCAATATCAATAATCATCAAAGAAATACAAATTAAAACAACACTGAAATATTATCTTACATCAGACAGAATGGCTATTACTAAGAAGTCAAAAAACAACAGATGTTGGCAATAAATGCAGAGAAAACACTTATACCCTATTGGTAGGAATGTAAATTAGTCCAACCTCTATGGAAAGCAGCATGGAGATATCTCAAATAATTAAAAATAGAACTACCATTGGATCCAACATTTCCACTACTGGGTATCTAAACAAGGGAAAATATCATGATATAAAAAGGAATATGCATTTTTATGTTTATTGCAGCACTATTCACAATAGCAAAGTCATGGACTCAACCTATATGTCCATTAATGGTCAATTGAATAAAGAAAATGTGGAGGCCAGGTGTGGTGGCTCACGCCTATAATCCCAGCACTTTGGGAGGCCGAGGCGGGTGGATCACAAGGTCAGGAGATCGAGACCATCCTGGCTAATATGGTAAAACCCCATCTCTACCAAAAATACAAAAAAATTAGCCGGGTGTGGTGGTGGGCACCCGTAGTCCCAGCTACTTGGGAGGCTGAGGGAGGAGAATGGTGTGAACCTGGGAGGCGGAGCTTGCAGTGAGCGGAGGCTGCACCACTGCACTCCAGCCTGGGTGACAGAGCGAGACTCCATCTCCAAATAAAAAAAAAGAAAATGTGGTATATATACACTGTGCCATATATACTATTCATCCATAAAAAAGAGTGAAATCGTATATTTTTAACTGGAGGCCATGATCCTAAGTGGACTAATTCAGAAGCAGAAAATCAAATATGGCATGTCCTCATTTATAAGTGGGAGCTAAACAGTGGATACACATGGATGTAAAGATGGAAATACTAGACATTGGGAACTCCAAAAAAAAAGGAAAGGTTGTGGGAGGATGAGGATTGAAAAATTACTTACTGGGTATGGGTAAAACGTTCAACATATGGGTGATGAGTGCTCTAGAAGCCCAATAATCCCCACCATTATGCAATATGCCTATATAACAAACATGCACATATACTCCCTGAATCTAAATAAAAAATAAAATATGACACAGTGAGATAAGAAAGGCTGTGTCATAGAGGAGTGTTACATGTAGCTATTTGCAACTACCTGGGACACTGATAAGGCTGTGGAGTAAACATTTCCTGCCTCCAGTCATAGGAGTCATCTGGGATTTAATTACTGGGGTTCCTTTCTCCTTTACACATTCATGAAATAAACATTAAGTTTGAGCAATCATTTTCCTCTGGAAGAAAAACAGCTAAGAAAATAGCTGTCTATTGCAAATAGTGCTACAATAAACGATCACATGCATGTGTCTTTATGGTGGAATGATTTATATTCCTGTGGGTATATACACAGTAATGGAATTGCTGGATCAAATGGTAGTTCTGCTATTAGCTCTTTGAGGAATCACCGTACTGCTTTCCGTAGTTGTTGAACTAATTTACACTCCCACCAACAGCGTATAAGTGTTCCCTTTCCTCTGCAACCTCACCAGCATCTGTTATTTTTTGACTTTTTAAAAGTATGACTAGTGTAAGATTGTATCTCATTGTGGTTTTGATTTGCGAAATCAACTTAAATGCCCCTCAATGACAGATTGGATAAAGAAAATGTGGTACATATACGCCATGCAATACTATGCAGCCACAAAAATGAACAAGATCATGTCTTTTGTGGAAAGATGGATGAAGCTGGAGGCCATTACCCTGAGAAAATTAGTGCAGGAACAGAAAACTAAAAGCCACATGTTCTCACTTAAAAGTCAGAGCTAAATGATGACAGCGTACGAACACGAGGAAGGGAATAAAAATCACTGGAGCCTATTTGATGGGGGAGGTTGGGAGAACAGAGAGGAGCAGAAAATATAATTACTGGGTATTGGGATTAATACTGGGTAATGAAATAAGCTGTACAACAAACCCCAGTGATATGTGTTTACCTATGTAACAAATCTTCACATGTACCCCTGTACCTAAAATAAAAGTTAGGAAAAAAAAAAGAAAGAAAATAAAATAGCTATCTGTCACAGAAACGTATCTAGAAAATACCCGAGTCACTTAATGGATTACCTATGGTAAACATTTAGGTATTGATTAACCGGAAATATATTTTAAATAAAAATGATGTGATTATGTTCTAAATCTTCCTGGAGAGCTGTGCACCCACATAATGATGTCTGAAGGAGATACTGGTATTAGATACCTCAGTAATTAAACCTTTGCCTTGTCTCACCTTAATAACTAAAGACATTAAATGCCAGGGAGTTCTGTGAGTTACTGAATGTTCTAGAGATAGAGGTATTGTTACTAATCAGAAGAAATGCATTAAGAAGTTTTCCTACCTACTGTGAACAACTCACCAAAAAAAAAAGGCAGATTCTGTGTTAGTCATCTGGGATCTACTTGCATCTTCCTCTAAAGAATAGGACTTAGTCTTTTTACAGTGGACAACCATGAATGGACAGTTTAGAGGGGCGAATTGAATGGTAAGAAGGACCCACTATGACGTGTGCATGTGTATATACACAATTGCATATGTATATTTACATATAAGTCATGTAACTATACATAATTCCCCTTTATAGGGAGAACAGTAACTCTTTCTCCTCCTCCTTGTTTTGGAGGGCCTCATTACTGCCTTCTAATGGCCTCTTGGGTTCCTTGTGAGTCTCATTCCCCACGGCCTTTGAAAGGGCGCCCCACAGCTGTGCACAAGGCCATTGCCACGCAAGGACTCCGTGCCCCTTCTGGAGACCTACAGGACCTGGGCTGGGATCTGTCAAAGCCCCTCTTTCTTGCTGGCTCTCCCTCCACATCTGACAATGCTTCCACAGACCAGGCCCTACATCTCCACTTTCCTCCACCACCACTTGCAGGACCCCCGAACCCCCGGAATAAAACCTCCAGGGAGTCGTCGCGCAGGGGACCCCGAATTCCTGCGCCCGGCTCAGGTCACGGAGGGCGGCGTCCAGGCTGCCCTTGGAGGGGACCAGGGCCAGGGCGAGTGCAGGCCTCCAGGAAGGGGCGGGCCCAGCCCCTCAGGCGCCGCAAGGGCCGCGTCCCAGGCTGCACCGCGCTTGGCCTCCCTCCTTGCTGTGCTCAGGGACCGACCCGGGTGCCCTGGGCTCTGGTCCTGCCCCGCCCTCCACGCGTCGCACCTGTGGCTTCAGGGGGAGCTCCGTGGGCCGGGATTTGGGGGTGGTGGTGGCTTCCTCTGGCCCTGGCCCTGGGGCTCCGAGACCTCTCCGGGGAGCCGCCGCGGGTGTAGCCGAGCTGCAGTCCCAGGGCTCAGCAGAGGTGCCAGGGGAGGAGGACGCTTAGCTCAACCCAGGGGAGCCGCCGCAGGACAGGTCCGCGCAGGACACAGGGCCCTGCCTGAGATGCGCGCCTGGACTGCAGGCCCCGGGCTGTGGCTCCATTTGGCAAGGGAACGTCTTATGCACTATCCAGGATTGGTATCTGATGTAAAGCTGGATAAGGCTCCTCCCCATCTGGAGTCTCGCTCAGGTGGAGGGAGAAAGAACGCGAACCCTCCTCTCCTTGCCTGGGCGCAGCGGCTACCAATTGGTGGGCTGTCGGCCTCAGGTGTTTCGCTCTGTCTTCCGGATCATGCGGCGTCAGAAGAAATAAGAGAAGGAAGAACTTGGAGAGGGCCTTCCTCCCCTGTGTCGCAGGCCGCTGGGGGCTGACTCCCAAATTCCAGGTAAAATAATGCTCCTCCCCACATTCCTCGCCTGCTCCTGCAATTCGGTACTCCAGGAGATGATTTGGAGAGTAGAATCGAGTTTTATGTTCCTTTGGGAATTTTTAAAGTAAAGTTTGTGAGTAGGCACACTATGTGCTTTTGTTTGTTTGTTTTGCTTGTTACAGTAGGACTTTAACAAGCGTTGGCGGCCAGGTGCATCATCTCTGTATCCCGAGAGGCCTGTCCAGAGCAGCCCAGCTTGTCTGCTCTTTGCGCTGCTACTATAAGTTTTGGGAACAGGACAAACCCACTTCACAACAGTTCTCTGGGTAATACTTGAACTCTGAATAATTACCTGAACTCTAGATTCTCAGAAAGAGAAAGAAGTCCTGCCTTGAGTTTGTTGTGGAATAATTTTATTCTTCTCTAAGAGCTAAAAAGGACAGATTCTATTTGCAACTGTGAAATCACCATCCAATCAGATGGTGCACCCATCACCATTAATTTCAGAATATTTTCGTTACCACTTAAAGAAACCGCTTACCCATTAGCAGACTTCCTTTGCCCCTCCTCCCCGCACTGCTCAACACTAATGTGCTTTTTTCTCGATAGAATTGCCCTTTCTAGACATTCTATATAACTGAAATCATACAAACTGTGACCTATTGTGTCTGATTTCTTTTATTTAGCAGAATGTTTTAAAGGTTTATCCATGTAATAGCATATATAGAGATGCTACATATAGAATCTCAGTCTGGGGTATCTAATCCCAGCTTTTTATGGGCGAATAGCGTTTTATCGCATGTATGTACCATGTTTTGCTTATCTGTTTATCAGTTTATAATTTGGGTTGTTTCCATTTTTAGACTTGTGAATGATGCTATGAAAATCTGTGTACAAGATTTTGTATGGGCTGTTTTCGATTATCTCATACATAGAACTGAGAGTGAAATTGATCTGTTATATTGTAACTGTATGTATAACTTTCTGTGGCGTTACCAGAGTGTTTGCCAAATTATTGGTGGCTGTTGGCATCCATTGGCTTATGGCCACATCACTCCAGTCACTGCTTCTGTCTTCACATCTCCCGCTTTGGTAATCTATGTGTGTGCGACCCCTTTCCGCCTTTCATAAAGATGTTTTCCATGGCATTTAGTACTTATTGGGATATTTAAGGATGATCTCCTCATCTTAAAGCTCTTAATTATATCTGCATAAACTTTACCATATAAGGTGATACTAGAACATGGACATATCTTTGGGCGCAATTATCTGTGTAACATAGTGTCTTCCTAGGAATTTGTTCATTTCATCTATATTATCAAGTTTGTTGGCATACAGCTCTTCAAAATATTGCCTTATAATCTTTAAAAAGATTTGAAAGTCAGTAATAGTGTTTCCTCTTTAATTTCTGATTTTAGTAATTTGAACATATCCATTGTAATCATCTTTGCCAGTTTTCTTATTGCTTATGTGAAGGAGTAGATATTGGAGGGTCATTACTTTGCCATTACAGAAGTGGTTCTTACCAGCCGTTTTTTCAATATGAGATACATTCAATTATTTTAATACAATCTCCCTTATGGATCTCAGATGAAGAGTAAAAGAGATCATTTTCTGTATGATTGTACATTACATTCACCTTTTGAACAACGGCCGGCCGGTGAAATGCTCATGGCCCGTGCTTGCAGAGGTACTATCACCTTATCACCTTTGAAAAACTTTGAAAATCTGAAAAACATACAGCTCAATATTTTTCTTCAGTTCTATCCATCGGGATAAAAATCTCAGTAATTTTTTTTTTCTGTGCCTGCTTTCTTTTCTTCTTAGCTGGGAAAGCATTTTGTGAAAATTGTTGCAAAATATCTGAATTCTGGATAAATAGAAAATGCCATGTAATATTTTTATAATGTAAAAGAAGCCAAAGTAGACTTTATATCTACAGAGACACTGTTAGAATTTCATAGGGAAAATTTTTTTTAAATTATTCTTTTTAAGTTCAGCTATTAGCAAGATATTGAATAGATATTATGACTTTCTGTAACACAGAATATATGCTTCTGTACCACAAAATATATGCTTTGTTTATAAAGGTTTAAATATCTGTTTTTAATCAAAATTATGGTTATTTTTCTTGTACGTAATTTATGACAATTCTTTGTGAGTAACTTGTTCTGATTATTATAGGGCTAGTGATAGCTCAACACTAAAAAGTCAACTTGGAAAAATTTAGCTAACTTCAGATTTTAATTTAAAGTTAAAACTTCAGCTTATCTCACTTAATTCGTTGCATCTGCACAAAGAATCTCAGTCTGGGGTATCTAATCCCAGTTTGGGTCTTAGCTATTGTGTCTTCAGGATATTAAAGCCACTTTCGTAGTATATTTTATTTCAACCAGAGTTTTTTACAACTTAGATGGAACTTAGCTTTATTGAGGGCAGACCTTAAACACTCTTTACCCTGAGTTCTATTAGCTTGTGTTAACCATATGGCTGCGGTGGCTGGCACGAAATTAACCAATCTTAAATATTAGTATGACTTAGTCAAACTTTCATTTATTACTAAAGATTTATCACTGCTGTTTGCCATGGGGGTGTGGTTGAACAAAGTGTTTTGAGTTGCATTTGTGCGTGCTTGATACCTGCTCCTTTTGATCTGGGTGATCTAGAGGACATTTTCACTGGGGTGGGGATGCTTGCATGTATAATCCTATTAAGAGGTAATAAAAAGGCCAGGACAAAACCTATTTGTTTATAGGGTTGTGTGGACCCATCTGTGCATTTTCAACATCTTGCTTTGAATGAATACGCTACATTAACTGCATGTAATTCTTTTTTTTTTTTTCTGTTGGAGTCTCGCTCTGTCGCCCAGGTTGGACAGCAGTGGCATGATCTCGGCTCACTGAAAGCTCTGCCTCCTGGGTTCACACCATTTTTTGGCCTCAGCCTCCCAAGTAGCTGGGACTACAAGCGCCCACCACCACACCCGCCTAATTTTTTTGTATTTTTAGTAGAGAAGGGGTTTCACTGTGTCAGCCAGGATGGTCTAGATCACCTGACCTTATGATCCGCCTGCCTCGGCCTCCCAAAGAACTGCATAGAGTTCTTAAATGAAAAATTAAAATATAAGAAAGAAAGAAATAAGTATGGTTGTTAACAGTTCTGGGAATTCAGGGTCTTTAAAGTCGAATTGGCAGAGGTTTGGCTGAGAAGATTTCTTAAAATTAGAATACGGTTTATTTAGGGTATGATATATCGGGGCAGTGCTTTCAAGGAATATGCTCAAGGTATTATATTAGTATTAGGGTAGAGATTTAGTTATATTTATCACACCTAATGGAGGATTTATTTGGTAGGAGGGTCTTAAAATTTTTTAGAAAATTAAATCAATTGAGGGGGAGCTGTTAGGGTATTCATGGTTAAAATATAATTTCTGAGCTCTGACTGGGTTACTTTTTAGTCTCTTATTTTTGGGGTTTGGCAAGGGTGCGTTTACCTAGGTTGATAGTAAAGTCACAGATTGGGGGAAGGGGAATTTGCGGAATTAATTGGAAATAGTTCTAGAAATTGAGCGTGCATGCGTGCGTGAGCGTCTATTGATTAACTGTTACATCTTTCAAGCATGAATTAATTAACACCTTTATAGTTATTACACCAGCCTGAAGTATTCAATACAAGCTCAGTTTCTACAATTGATTTGGCAGGAATCAAATCTGAGTTCGTCCACAGCAGATTCGTCAGGGACCAGGTCATCACCATGCTGTGATAGCATCCCCCAAAGTTAGAAATACCAAATGCATGACGGTGGTCCCATGACCGGTTAATAGGGTGGTAGTCATTAGTCCATCGAGGTGTCTTATTTAAGGGGAATGTGTGAGCAATCTTAGTTTTATGGCCCTGAAGTAAGAACCAGATGCCAGGTATAGTTTCAGTACAGTCACCCCCAAGCGTCATGGGCCCGGAGTGAGCAGGATAGTACTCCCTAGCAGGATGGTGACTTCTCGGAGTTTAGTAGATGAAGAGACCAAAAACTGACAGGAGATATCCATGTTGATGAGGGACGTCTTGACTACAATGTGCTATGTCTGATGAATGAATGGATGTACTATGTAATACTAAGGGTTTATAGTACGGGTCAATATCCATGTGGATTAGATTCGGTTGTACAGTCAATAATACTCAATTTATGACAGTTGATTAAGAAATTCTTAATATGTGCTTATATGTATGTGGGCTAGATTTATAATGTATTGTTATGTATGAATTACTATGTACGATCTAGCAATTATAGTCCTGTATGTTATTCGTGGGGACTAGCAGTAATGCACAAAGTACGTAAATGCACGAATGTAATAGCGCTAATTGATTAGTAGTGACATGGTAGTCAAAGTATGTGCTGAGAAGGAATTCAGGGAATAGTTTAACTTGAATTTCAGCTTTGGGTGTTGATGGTGAAGTGGGATGCTTTTTCCTTGAGTTGTCCTGGGTAGGGGATTGTCCATTTCTGGTTTACAAGACCGGAATATTAAATTATACTACAAGGGCATCTTCATTTAAGTAGCTTATTTTCAATTAGGCTGGTGAGTGGTATAAGGGTGAGAATGGTAGAGAAGTACATAAAAGATGCCATCTGCCTGATGCCAATAAAAGGGTGTTTGACTGGCTGCCCTCCAATTCATGTGAGTGTAAATGGTTCGGCCACTAAGATTCAGAATAGGCATTGACTCAACAGTCGGATTATGCTTTGTTGTTTAGACCTGTGAAATACAGGAATAACTGTTAGAATGAGAATGGAGAATTCAAGGGGCAGTACGCCTCCTAGTTTGTTAGGGATGGATCATAAGATTGCCTGTGCAAACAAAAAGTACCACTCTGGCTTAATGTGGGGTTGGGTGTTGAGGGGGTTGGCCAAAGTGTTGTTATCTGGGTCACCCAGGAGGTCAGGCCAAAATAGTACTAGAGTTATTAGAAGGAGGAGGAGAAAAATTAAACCTAAAATATCTTTGGTTGTATGGTAG